GCCGATTACAAGTGATATCGGCTAATTACGCGTTAATTGGTACTCGCGTCGCGCCTTTGGGATATGCAAACGGCAACCGGCAATCTTCGAAGAAACGTTATCTTCCGGACTCGGGGGGACGTTCGATTCCCGGTTAAAGAGGGACAGGGCAAAAAAATACCGGGCCAGATAACAGACCTGTTAGCTCTGTTTTAAGATTACGGGAGTAGAGGGAAAAAAAAACAGGCAGGAAAGGCGCGATCCATTAGTAGACACGTCAATTTGGCTCTTAAGAGGCGACCGGCTTAAAGCTGCTTCCAACGGTCCTGCCTTTCTTATTCCTGCGGCAGCGGCTCGTCTTTTAACATTTCTCTCGGATCTCTCTTCCTCGCGATATCATAATTAATGATAATTCGATTAGTCGGACAAGATTGGACCTCGGTTAAGCAGCCAAAGGTCTCCTCGCGCTCTTCCTTTTTCGGACGAGCGCTCGAGACGCGGGGTCTTATCCTCCGTATCCTTCCATCTACCGATTTACCTCGCGATCTTTTCGCTGTGAATTTCTCCCCCGAACCCGACAGATCGTTCCCTCGACCCCTGGACACGTGAATCGAACGCGGATGCGTGCCTCTATTGCCAAGATTAACGGCGACAGGAAACACGCGAGACCGAATCACGGATTTTGGTACAAGTAGAAATTCGTTTCCGCGGAACTGTAAAAATATGTGTCAAACTGGAGAAGAGGAGTTACTTCCGGTAAAACGTGTCACGGGTACACGGGGACGTTTTCCCATATCTCGCATCCTCGATTGGATATTTCCTTGTTAGACTCGTTCGAACGTTAATACTTTTTTATGATGTGCCGCAAAACTTTTGTGACGTTCTCGGTAACCTTGATGGATCCCGTAAAAATCCCTCGAAATGTTCTACCTCTCATTTTCTCAAAACTCTAACGACACGTTATCGGTACGTTAATTCTTACGTCAATGTCAAACAACATTTATTATATTTTTTTTTTATACCGAGTGTTAAGTCGTTCGGGCTAAATATAACATCGTGTCCAGAAATGATGAAACTTCCGTTACCATGTTCAAATGTGTATGAAAATTATTGAACGCCTCGGCGTGCCAGCGAGCCCACAGGGGCACGGATACCGTGTAATTGAAAAATCGTTAGTATCTCCCGGATCTGGCAGCTTAGCCGTATTGCTAGCACTAATTTGTGGAAACTGAAAAAACCTGGACATGACAAATAGAATGGGATGTAGCATCGACGTCGCTATAACGAATAAAACGAACGCGGAGTCAAGCTCGGCAAAATTGAGCATTGCTTGAAATCTTTGTTCGTTTCTCCGTATCGATTCTACGATTTGTTTGTCCAGCGGTAATGAGCAAAGGTCTATTCGATACGAGAATGCGTTTTTTTCTAGAAAGTGATTCTTTCTAGAAAAGCATACGCTACCGAATCGGTGTACCTCTGGGTATATCCCAAATAACTGTCGGAAGCATAACGTGGAATTTACCGCAAGGGTGTACGGGTTAACATTTTGCCAAAGTCAATTAATTCGTTTTAAAAGAGTAGAGGGCATAATAAAACCGCCTACGCCAGGGCGACATTCATGTCGGGAATAATGGGAAATCGGGGTGAAGCGGTAAAGACCCTGTGGCCAACCGAAGCACGTGGAATTGCGACTTGATTTGTCGGAAATGACGAGAGTCGATTTTGCGTCGCCGTCCGTAGCGAATATGTCGCCGTCGAGTCGGTTTGATTTCTTTCGCGGGAAGTTATCCGCTTCCATATCCGTTTCGAGCACTCTGTTCCTGCAAATTGCGCGAGCAACGCGGGGTGCATGGAAGAAGGTTAGCCATTCAAAGGAATTTCTGGTCCGTGGTTAAAAGATAATGCGTTCCGACTACTTTTACAGAAAATTACTTTAGATTCCGACCTTCCGTTAGCACCAGCCGTTAAGCTCGGCGTTGCCCTGGTCCGCCACGAACTTTTCGATTGCAGAGACTAAACGGCACTTTATAGTCAAATTTTAAGACAATGACGTTACCACGCAAGACAACTATAGAATAACGTGAAAAGAGAAAAAAATGTTTAAATTACTAAAACTCTTTTTATGAATCAAAATTAGAATCGACATTCTCGATGTTCCGGAATAACGAAAATAGCAAGCGGTAGTAGAAAAAATAAACGATTGAAAACTTAGTTCAGAGGTTGAAGGCGGATTGTTCGATTCAGAAAAAAGTAGCCAAAAGAAATACTGAAAAAATCGGACAATGTCATGCCCAAAAACGCGAGGTCCTGTATTTTTCCACAACGGTGTAATTCTAGATACAAGATAAAATTTGCGATCGCGTCAAAAGGACACAACCTTCCCGTTTTCTTCTTTTTAAATTTAACATTTAAAGTTTCCGCGTGAGTTTAGTTTGAGCGAAACCGTTGGAGCGAGTCCATCGACGATCGCTCAAAGATTATCTGCAGAACTTTCAGTTTAAAATTCAATTTCCAAAGAAAAAAGTTTAAAGTTTGCCGCACGAACTTACGATTCGCCCTAACGGTTACTATTACCCGAGGAATCCGTGAAGGCCCTTACCCTTAAGTCTTGCGTTTATACGGAATTTGATGTGTCATGGCCTTAAAGAAGTTAACCCCCTACCTCGTAATATCGTGCGAGCCTCGTGACATGTTTTACGAGTCAAACATAAGAAACACCTGTCAGCTTGTGGTACGTATAAGTAGCACGGCCGAATGTGTCACGCGCTGTTACGAATTAAATCGTAGCAAAGGGTTAAAGTTCTTTATGGGAGAGAAAACGTTCAAAGATTTCAGACTTATTTGAGTTATCGGGGCATTGGACGGCTTATACGCGCGACGAAGCGTAAAATTGACGTTCCAGGCAAAATTAATTACTCGAGGCAATCTAAACGTTTCTGGATGAAGATACATTAGCTCCATCGAAATTAATTTCGTAGAAGTCCGCATTGCGAGCCAAAGGATAACAAAGTTAGTACCGATCGGAAATGATATTTCACAAAATGAGGGCAAATTTGGTTTCGAGTATTTCAAATATCAACGGAAATTACATAATTTTTTTTAATCAAATGTTCCGTTTAACCGAAAGAACTTAATGCGTCATGCAACAAATTAACAATTGTCAATAAACGTCGCTTGAAGTTGACGAAAAAACGAGATTACCAACAATTGTCAAGGTTCCGAAAGAAAATATCATACGTGCTCTTATGAATCAATTTTGTTGGAGCAAAGAAATTTCAGTAGCAAGAAACACATCGTCGCAAATAATTAATTTCGCCTGAAAAGTAACTTTGGAAAAAGAAGGTATCAGGGTCCGCCAAGAATCGTTCGTAACGCAGCTTTCGATTCACGTGGCCGATAATTTCATGTCGAGATTAGAGGGCAGATAATTAGCTCTGACCCATTAACCGATCGAAAACAAACCGTTTCCAAAAGCCCCTTCAGCGAACCGAATTAGGTCGTTCATAGAGTGGAAACGTAGCGTCGAACCGACGCGATTGCATTTCACGCGTCTATGAGCCGTCGAGGAATAAAATGAAACCTATCGAGTCGACGCGAGTCGAGTCGCAGTTGCCCGAATGAAGCCTAGCGGGCGTTTAAATTCGACCCAAGTAATTGGGAGAGCTGATTGATTGGAACTGTCCCGGTAACAAGACCGTGGGGTAACTTAAGTCCTTCGGGGAATTGGAAGCGCGAGTGGATTCAACACCCGGAGAGGGAACGTCGGGGCGCGTGCCGTCGGCCGACGCGACGTCTCGCTTCGTTATTCCTTACCTACTTTCATTTCTCCACCGCAATTATGGCTCGACCCGAAACCCGCGACCGCGCCGAATCAAGATACTTTATACCCGAGTCGCGTTATCGGTCCAATTTTCCGACGAGTTTGCCGATTATTCCGATTGCCGTCAACGGAGGAATCCTGGGCCCCGCTTTCCGCTATTTCGAACAACTTTAGGCTCGTCGATGAGTTCCGCGTGGAAAGATTTCCTGATACTTTCGGATCTATACAGGGACCAGGAACCGAACAATGTGCACTAGAACTAGGTACGTTGCCTCGGAAGATATTAGTCCAATACCAATTTATATAAAAGCTATTTTACTGCGATATGAAATTTGGATTTGGTAAAGGTAACGTACCCATAAGTGTTCCACTTCCGTGCAGAGATCCCCTATACGATTGGATGTAATAATTTACATCCACGAGAAAATAACGCAAATTCCATTTATACATACCTTCCCTCCATCGAAACTACGTCCTACCGCCTGAGAAGTTCGGCAATTCACGTTTACGCGTCAACAAAAATGTGTATCTATCGTTAATAATACTAAATAATACTATAATTACATAATAATACGACGTTAAAGTCAAGTATGATACTACAATTTAGTACGGGGTGGTACGTTAATGGAATCGATCTCATTTAAATGTACACCTGTGTTCGGTTTTGTGGGTTTACGGTGCAAACGAATATTAGATTTAAACTCGGTTAAACCTCGGAGTCCTCCATTTTCAAATACTCCGTTGCGTCTCGCTTAGCCACTGAAATCCCCCCTTCACCCCTGACCAAAGAACGAAGTTTTATATAAATTATTAAGATAAATTTGAACGTTACATTTCATATATATTTAAAATTCTACTTTTCACGAATACGGTAACGTAACGAACTCATATTTCTAGCACATTCCCCAATTAATGTTATTTCGTTTTTCTTCAATGGCAAGAAATTTAATGATTCTCCGGTCTAACTCGAATAAAATGAAACGACCGTTGTTTACAGAGATTTCTCCAGCTTCGCATCGATGGAAACGTTTCGAGGACTTGGAAGATCTAAGAAGAAAAACGAACTCCGAGGTTCTCGGTGAACCAAACGAGATCGAGATTTCCGTCGGGAAGTTGACCGATGAACCGACAAACGATACAGAATTTGTCCATAAAAGTCGCGTCCACGGTAAAATGACGAAATAAAATGATTTCAAAGTACCGGTATTCTCGTGTCCATCTCGGGCTCCATCTTCCATTTCCTGGAAGTTCCTTTGACGCCCCGTGATTCCTAGAATGGCGTCGATGCTATGTCGCGGCGTGCTGTTCGCTGGTTTCGGCAAGACGATATCCTGACTGCTAGGAGACGACGTTTCCACGGATCGGCTGGAATCCATGACGGCTCGAAACTTGAACTTTCCTTATCTTGAAAACACAGAATCACAGACGGAGCGTGGACTCCGAGAACCCGTCGTGGTCTCCCCTCAAAGTGCGCGCCTCGAAGTACCTCTCCGACGATTCGGGGCCACGTAACCGCGTCCAAAGGTCCGTCCCGACTTTCCGATCCCGCCGACGCGACGGTACCCGGAGCACACCGTGAAATCGCGATCGAATATCCGTCTCGCATCTACGAAATCATAGCTCTTAAGTACATTTCAAAGACTACGTTGCATACCCTATGTAAACGTCCATGGCAGCGCCGGGTCGGGATCGGGACCGGGTGACCGGGTGACCGGTCATCCCAGCGAAATTCAGAGGAAGCGGGGGAAACTCGTAATCCACATGGCGAGGGTCTCAGGCGCTCCTCTCCGGCGACCCCTTCCCGTGCACATCCGGGCCGCCTCCGAATCCTCGAGGTCCTTCTCCGGCATTCGTCCGCTCATCCCGTTGCCATCTTCTTCGCCCAAGGCGGTATTTACGCAGTCGATTTCGTTTGCGGACCGGCTCTCGGGTCGGGGTCGGGTCGGTGTTGGGTGCCAGCTCGCACTAACCGTAAGAGCGGCTTCGTGCGAGGCACTCACCCCTCTGGTTACCTTTCACCGGCGGAGAGAAGGCCGTGCCGTGGGACAAGGGGCGTAACCTCCGGCAGCCAATACGAAATTACGCGGGGAAGGCGAGGACCAATACCCACCGGAACTCGGGAACATGGCGAGGCAGCGGTGCTCAATCCCTTGGCCCCCTTGGCCCCCGGCTCTGGTGGGGTTAATTCGAGGGGAGGACTCGTAATTGCCGGACTTGGGACCACCGTCCATTCGACCAAAGAAATATTCCTTTCGGCGGTATCGATGAAATATTTTTCTTGTATATCTTATCAAAGAATAATTATCTTACTCGAATAACTTGCTTCCATTCCGAGGAAACGTTGCGTCCAATTTATTCGAATTTATTCGAATTCATTGGAATTCATCCGAGACAAATTCTTTCAATTAACGATACATTTCCTTGGTTCGACGATAGTTTTTTCCCCGATGTACGTTCTTCTCCTCCCTGCTCCGGCGTCCGAATCACGATTGATCGCGGAGATGCGGAATTTCAAAGCCCGAATTTTCTTTCGTCCCGCGGAACGACCGACCGCTTCGCGGCGCGAGACCAAACTGCCGCTCTTCGTCCGCGGAACGCTCCTCCTTGGGTTGGTCTTGAGTGACCTTTGTTTGTTTTCGTCCTCGCCAAAGTGGCTCGGTGGCTGGCTGGCGCGACCGGTCTTGTTAGCAATTTTCCGAGAACTCCAAATTATTCCCAGTCAACGTCAACGTAGACGCCCAAAGGAGGCGAGTATCTCGTCGACGCAGCCTGGCGACGTATGTACCCTCGTTAACGCGGACTCAACGATCGTCGAGTAAGGGGATGCACGTTTCGGGTACGTAAATATACGTTAAGAGGATGCAAATACGGCATCCGAGGGATCTATCGTTTGTGAATCGTTTCTCCAGCCTGGATATACCGAACGGAAAAATTGTCAACATAACCGTTACCGAAACCGATCACTGAAAATGTTCCCGTACCGACGGGAAAATAATTTCAACAAAAATGTAATAAAATTACGATATTCTTTTTAACGGTGTACTTCGTGTTTATCGGAAGAACTTCTTGATGCTACGCGTGTTCCGAGCAAACGATATACTTCGATATACCGTCACAGGTAGAATTGAACCCGTTTCTAAAGATGCGTCTAGTATCGGATCCGTTTCCTTCGGTACCTGTTGATTTATTTCCGAGCCACTTCCCTTTCGCCATGAGACCGTCTCTAAATTCCCATTTCCTATCGACGGTAAAACATAAACTCGGCGCGGATCGCGGTCACCAGTTGCCAATTTGAATCGGGGGGAAGTGAACGTCCAGATAGGCGAGTCCTCGTTTGGACCTCATATCTGCAGTGCACGATGACGAACTAAAAATACTTAAACAGCCGTGACGTGACAAATTTACTGCAAATTTTTGTTCAAATTTATTATGTAATATGCGTACATATATTGCAGACATTTCGTGCAGCAAATAGTCTGCAAATTGTTTGTAAACCGATTTTCCTCATCGTATAATGATCATAAATTTCTACCTAGCCGATCCATTTAAACATCCTGCAAATTCTACATCGATCGTCGTTCCTGATATCGTAGTCGATAGGACTAAATAATTTTCTTATCTTTTTCCGAGGTAAATGTTGCGAGGGAAACGACGCGGTTCTCAAGATAGATGCACGTGAATGGAAACGGAAGAATAACGTTTGGTACCGATCGCTCTCACCAGTTGGCGATGTGGCTCGCGGGGAAGTAAACGCCCCCGAGACCATCACAAAAGATGTGTATCCGCCTGTAACGAGGCGGTAACCAAGTACAACCGACCTACTTAACGAGGGAAATTATAGGTTGGTCTCGAATTTCGTCCTTCCCGGCTTGTGGTTGGCATGGGCGGGAAATCGTTTCCTTCATTGTCGTACATTCGTACAATAAATGGGCTTGTACATTAAGACGAGAAGTAATAGGACCAGATGTTTCGATTCGTCGCTAACGAGCGATCGATACGGAAGCCCTTTGAGTGGATAATTAGAGACGCCAACTACCCGAAACCTACCATTTTAAATATCACTTAAACCGCGGAACGTAAGGTTTGAGGAAACGACCGAATGGAGTAAATATTAGGAAACACGTTTAAATGATACGTCAAAGAATCTAAATTCGTCAACGTCTTACAAATCTTAGAGTCCGAACGCAAAAAGATCGTTTACAATCATTCGCAATAATTTCAATTAACATGAAATCGTATCGTCAAAAAACGCGTTTCTTCTCGACCGGAGACAAACTCATCGAAAGCCTAACGCGCAAAATCGACATCTCTTATGAACATGTATTTAATGTAGAAAAAATGAATGTCGACTACACTCTGGAGAAGCGCTTCGGCTCGAAACGAGAGCTTCCGTCAAGTGAATCGAAGCTTCCGAAGAGTCTCTACGAATCCAAGGAACTTAATCTGGCCGACTACCTGAGGCTTAAAGCGCAAAACCGACCGAGTTCTCTTTGGACGTTTTCCAAAGTTATCTGACGATCGCCATCCTTTAAGGAAACTAGGCGGTTAAATGAAAGAAAAAAAAAAGGCAAAATTAGGCCAGATAAAACTGGAACCAATTTGGAGCCTTCCGAAGGCGGGTAGGAAATAATGCGCTAATCTAACCTGGTGCTGTCTCATGGCGATCGTTATCGTAGCCAATGGGATCCGGTTAAATGATGCTTCCGATCTGATTCGACAAAATCTTAAAAGCCTTTCGGGGACCCGAGATTAGAGGTTACGATTCATAGGGGGGGAAAAATAAGCCTCACTCGAATTCTTCTCAAAAATGCTTTCTCAAGAAAGAGGCTGCGATTAGTTTTTCTGGGACGATGGTAGAGTCAGTGGAGGGTTCGTCGCCATTTCTCGTATACAGGGGAGGTCTTCCGAAATTCGTGAATCCTAATTGGTGCAACCAACGAGGTGACAATCGTACGAGTGGGAATATGGCAAGCATCGTTCGACTACGAATTCAAATTGCGTTGATCGAATCGAATCGAGTAAAAAGTCTCCCATCTTTGCTTTCACCGACACGTGAAGCTCAGAAAAGGCAGAACGGTATCGATTATACGAGATGAGAATCATAAGACCATAATTCGATTAACCCCACATCCGCGAGGGATAGGGAGCAGGGGAGGGAGTTACTCGCACTTGTATGCCGTTTATTGGAATAAACGTTCCCGTCGAGAAGATACCAGGGTCCGCTTTAACGGATTACCTACTTAGCCGAGTATCGAGTGTTTGCGATGTAGATATTTCGAACATCCTCCGTTGGAGATTTTCCTACGAATCGTTAAACTAGTTATCGATCCAAACTAAAGAAGCTGAAATCGAACGACTTCGACGTTCATCCATTTCAAAATTTATCCCAAGACTGTCAAATATTAACAAAGAACGGATCGCATAGAAATATATTTGCGGGTTCCTAAGAATATATTCAATATTTTTGTTGATTGAAAATTAACATTTTCTTCATTTAGTTTTCTGAAAAGCAGATATTAAAACCGATACGATATTTCGTCGTCGCATTCAGGAAATATATTAAATTGTAATTAATATAATTTTCGTCCGCGGGTTTCGTGCAAGAATTCGGATATCCAATATTACGAGAATTACCTCCGCGATGCCGCCGATCTCGTCGACCTCTTTCAGAATTTGAACAGAGTTTACGATCCCAATGGAGGGTCGACGAAACAACGGATTATGCGCCAGAAATCTTAAGATCCTTGAATGGACCCAGTGATGCGCCGCCCGCTGGGAGTTTTGCCAGACTTGTCAAGGAATTTACCGAAATCCTAATGTCCTAGAAAGGGTCTGAAAACAGCTCCCGCTGAGCAGGAGCTACGAACGAGAGGACGCACAGTGCCGCAAACACGCTTTACTCGACCCCGCCGAGAACTTGTATTCCTCTTTTATTTAGCACCTACGAGAATACGATATTACGGCGCTGAACGGCCGAGACTCGGGGAACGAAGGACGAAAAGAGAGCGGTATAGCGGAGGAACGGGAAGAGAAGCAAAATTGAAGCGGATTTCCACGTTTGAATGAGGACCGTGCGGACCGCCGCTTGAAATTAGACTTATCTCCACATCGGGACGCAGCTGCGCCTTTCTCACAGTTTAATACCGTGGATCGGACCCAATGCGTGAATGGGTCTTTTCTGCCCTCGCGTCAGGTTTGCAAACAGTTTTGAGTTTCCGTGCCCGTTGCTCTTTTGGTGGCCAAAGGTCCCGGAGCGTGTTCTCGCCCGAGCAGTCGAGTGTCCACGTGGACGTTTCGGAGGGAGAATCTTGTAACTTCATCGATACTCCCGGCGCGAGACCGCGATTTCGACCACCCGAGAAATCGTTCCTTCAAA